TTAATTCAAATAGATGGTGAAGTAGTTCTTTAAAAAGCCTGCGGGTGTTCTGTTATGGATGTGTGGGAAGAGAAGGCATGTTGAGTATTGTGGCTACAAGAAAAAGGCAGAATGATAGAGACACATAATATAAAACTTTTGATAATCCAGCAATTCAGTTGCATGACATTCTCCATTGCCCTAATGGCTGTAAATGGTTTGGAAAAGTCACTGCAAGTTAAGATGCTTGGAATTCCAGATTTCTACAGCAGATCAACCTGAAGAATATCCTGAGATGGCCATTGAAAACTCCTAATGAATTCTCAGAACATCAGAGAAGGTGGCTGCAGGAGGAAAACTAATTACACCTCCTTGCTCACAGTTTTGGGGTTGCAGGGCATTGTGTACTTCAAACATGCCTAAATATAGAACAGGAGAAACTCTGTGCTTGGAGACAAGAGCTGAGCCTCTTTGCAGCTGAGCTTCACTGATGTAAAAGCTCTGTCCGTCTTTCAGCTGTAAGTAGAGCACTCTAATGGTACCTGAATCAAAGCTAGAGTTTGCTCTTGTATTCCGTTCTAGATTTCTCCCATTCTGTTGTATTCAATCATTGACTGCCAGGGTCAGGGCCTAACAATGGGATACAAGCCATTTGCAAAGTTCTTACTGCTCCTTTTCTGCAAGCAACACTGGCTCTTGAACTTCCAGTAGGGTTTTTATTTTTTAAGTATGGCTCATTTTTCAAACTGGGGTGACTTCAAACCTCGTGAACTGATTTGCCCTTACCAGCTAAGTCAAAACTTATCATAGCTACAAAGTTAATCTAATTATTTCCCATGTTTTAAGTGCAATATAACATTTTCTTGCGGTCTGTGTAGGGAAAACTTAAAATATATTTTTTTTAATGAGGTGAATTGAATGCTGGTAAAAGTTGTTGACTCTGGAGATTTATACCCAAAGTAATCATCCTACCCCGACTTTTAATTTTTTTCTAAGTCAATCTCTCTCTCTCTCTCGGTTAATATGTCGGGCATAGATTACTACATTGAACAGTATGGCTTGCAGAGCTGTTCTCATTGCAGCTACACCTGACATTCACACTGGGTGGTATCCAACTACGATAACTCATTTAATCAGTGCATGGATTTCCGCTTGCACAACAGAACCTTCCCCCCTTTCTTTCCTCATGCAGTTCCTAGATCTGTTCTGAAAGTTCCTCCAACACCCTGGAGTAGGGTTTTTTTTGGGGGGGGGGTGAGTGGGACGGGAGTGTTTCATTGTGCAAGCAGAAATCCTTGTGCTGATGGAACAAGTTAGTTGGATACTTCCTATTTATTTATTTTTTGTAGTAAATTTATTGTTTAGCAATAAGCCATAGCAGCAACAACAAAACAGGAACCTTCAGAGTTGAGCCACAAATTTAGCTCTTCATTTCCTGGTTACCAGTGCAAATAAGGGAACAAAGTAACATAGTTTTCAGATAGCTCCCCTCCCCCCCCCCAAAATACCTTGTAAATTTTTAAAAGTATAGCAATATTCTTCCTGACACTAAACTCAAATATTTTTCAAAAGGATCCTTACAAAAAGGGCTCTGAGTAAAATAATGAACAATATCCTCTATAACTGTTCAACAAAACAGACAGAAATGCTGCTCCAAGGGTAATTTATTATAGTGGCCATCTAAAAAAGCAGAGGGCATGACTTTAAATTTTAATTCTGTAAACATGTTCCTATAGGGAACTAAGGTAATTCGTTCTAAATAGTTACCTTTCTGATGATCTGGCTTGACACCCACATTGGATACTAGTTCTTTTCAAGTGTTTGTTTTAGCTGATAAAACAAATGACTAAGGATAAGTATACCTGAGAAAACATCTCATTGCTTGTGTCCTGTTAGCTTCTCTGAGATCCACTGGAGGTGCTCTATTAATGATACCAACTATGCTTCAGTGTTCAAAAGAAAGACATTCTTAGTAGTTGTACCCCAGCTATGGAACTACTCATTGCAAGCTTGTCAAAGTTGAACCATAGACATGTTTCGGACCAATTTCCTTTGATTGGCTTTGGTGCCCACAGTTAAATGAGCAAAGGGTGGAAACATGTCAATGGTGTTCTAATAGGATGTCATATAATTTGCTGTTTTCCTTTTCTTGCATTGCGTACTCCTAACTTCATGATAGTGTGTGTGGATTATAAAACAAAATACAGTGGGATGAACTTTCTGGCCTGAAGGGCAGCCATGGAAGCCACAGTGGTGTGCTTGTTTTGTAGAAAGGTTATTTGTATAACGCTAAGCCTAATTTATGAAGGGAATGGGTGAACCAGCCATGTGATACTAACAGTATCATTGCTATTAGGAATTCCAGACATCACACAGTTTGTGGAAAATGCCACAGCCAATATGTTTGCTGAATATGACATGAAGGACAACCTATTTGAACAGTACAGTGGTACCTCGGGTTAAGTACTTAATTCCTTCTGGAGGTCCGTTCTTAACCTGAAACTGTTCTTAACCTGAAGCACCACTTTAGCTAATGGGGCCTCCTGCAGCTGCCGCACCGCCAGAGCACGATTTCTGTTCTCATCCTGAAGCAAAGTTCTTAACCTGAGGTACTATTTCTGGGTTAGCGGAGTCTGTAACCTGAAGCTTATGTAACCTGAAGCGTATGTAACCCGAGGTACCACTGTATCCCTCTTTAAGACACTTCAAAGATAATCATTGGAAAGAGCTTCTGAAATTCTAAGAATACAAAGATTCCAGGGTTCCGTTCTTTGCATGATGGGATGTTTATATGCCCCACCACCTTACAGAGCTGAACCTTTTTTGTTTAAAACAAATCAAGATATTTGCATGAAGCAACAAATCTTTATGCAATCCTAGATCAGCTATTTAAATCAAGAAGGCTGTCACTCTGCACACGCTCAGAACCACATCAGCATTATTTCTCTGTGTGCTATTTTTTCTTCTTATTGGACATGGCAAATGAAGTCCATCATACAGTTGTGAAGTTACTGGAGCTAAAACAGGATTCTTTTGTAATGTGTTGTTGTATGATCGCTGTTCTCTCTCTCTCTCTCTCTCTCTCTCTCTCTCTCTGTGTGTGTGTGTATGTGCAAGGACACATGCTCCCCAGCTGCAGGGTGGGATGGGTCATAAATGCTATAATTGTTTTTTCCCCAAGACCTCCCTCCCATTGAATAGTTCTGTTTGGCTGATTTTCCCCCGTAGCTGCATTTTTCCAAGCTGAATCTCATTTTGTTATTTCCTGCCCATATTTCTGACCTCTTTAGTTTCCTTTTGTGGCTTGCCTCTTGTCCATAGCACAGTTCTGTGTCTGCAGCTTTTAGTATCATCTCTGTGTACTGAGTTGATTTTTCTTAACTCTCTATGAAAATACGAATAAAGCTTGACAGCTTCCCTTAGTCTGCCCCCACTTTGAAGACTTTCAGTCAGTTTGTACCTTGGCACTGTTTCCTTATAGTTTAGTTTAAAAACAAAAACCATAAACAGGAGTAAAAGCTCCTATCAAGTACTGCAGTGCATGTAACTGAAACTGCAACTTTCTAAGCAGTAAACCCCATTGAACAGGGGGAATTATTTTTCAATAAACATGCATAGGATGCCAAAGATACTTTTGGTGCTCGAAAGTGCTTAGTTCACTCTAATCTTTAAGAATGTGACGTCCTATCAAAGGAAAACTCACCACATGTTTTTAGGGTAGGGATGCCCTTGAAGTTTTGGATTGGAGCCAGTTTTGATTAACTTGCCAAATACTTTTTTTTAAAGTCACCCGTTCCACCTTGCATAAAGTTCTGTGGCAAATGTTAAAAGCAACAAAAACAAAGGAAACTTCTGGTATTCTGTTCTTTTCAGTTCTGATCTCAGTAATGTCCCAGATAGGTATTAGATAAATCATGAGACAGGAGTATAGAATTCTGTATGGCATGAGGAAAATTGATCTCTCCATATATGTGTGTGTGTGTGTGTGTGTGTGTGTGTGTGTGTGTAACTAGAACCTTGAGGTCACTAAAATAGTGCAGATTGATGGTGGCGGCTCAGCCATCAAGCAAGAAGAAGTACTTCTCCAAATAGTGCCTTGCTAAACTATGGAGTTTGGTACAAGACGTAATGATGGGCACCTGCCTTCAGGTGGCTTTAAAGGGGTTAGAGTAATTCATAAATGATAAGGCTGTCCATTCTGAAGGCCAGTTACTGGGGAACATGAGTGGAGAGACTGCTGTGGTGCTCTTAAGCTATATACACATAGTATATTTAAAGAATCCTGGGAACTATAGTTTAAGGTGCTGAGAACTGTAGTTCTGTGAGTAGTGACTGACAGTTCCCAGGATTCTTTGGGGTGAGTCATGTGATTTAAATGCATAGTGTGTATGATATGCAGCCATATATTGCTTGCGGGCTCCCATAGGCACCTGGTTTACTGCTATGGGAAACATGATGTGGGTCTAGATACACCTTTGGTTTGACTTAGCAGGGCCTGTTCTTATGTTCTTACTGTTTGTTTCATTAAATTAACTCTAGTACACCCCCCACCCACCTTACAGGACTGAGACTTCTTTTTTTATAACCACCTTTTTGCAAAACGAAACACAAAAAGCGCCCACCACATCTCCATTTGAATCCTGTATTTAAATAGTTAAATCAAGAAATGCCTTGACACAATGCAGTTTCTGTCTCATGTGGTAACTTTTGAAACCCATCCAATCATTTTTAGAGTTTTAGGAAATGTTTGTTAACTTAAAAGGGTTTCTTTCTTTTTATAATACATCCTGATACTGTTTCATCCTCATTAAAACTCTGTTAAGTAGTTTAGACTGTGACACAGAATGGCTTGTCTAAGGCCACCCAGTGAGCGTTGTTTTCTCCCACGTCCAACCTCAACATATTATTTTCTACATACTAGACTGTGAGTGTAATGCTTTTTTTAAAGGTTCGTAGAATTGTAGAGTGGGAAGGGACCACGAAGGTCATCTGGTCCAGCCCCCTGCAATGCAGGAATCTTTTGCCCAACATGGGGCTCGAACCCACAGCCCTGAGGTTAAGAGTCTCATGCTCTGCCCACTGAGTTCTAGCCAGGAATTCTGTTTGGGACTTAAGGGTAAAAGGAGAGTCTTATTTCAGTTCCCTCCCCTGCTTTTCTTTTCTCCCACCCCAACCCCGCTTCCCCAAACAAGGAGGATTCTTCCTCACCACTGCTAATGCTGTTGAGATTTACTTAAGCCACCACAAACAGGTATGGGAAGGTTTTCACCTAGCAAATGTTCAGTATCAGCAAGCGTTCCTGAAGCATTCCTTAAGTGCTCAAAGTGGTCTTTAGGGAGAAAAATGCCTCAAGTATAAGTCAGGAGAAACTAGTCTTTGAACCAGGACAAAAGCAGGTGGGGCACGGTGGGAAATATATAGGAAGTTGTTGGGAATACCTTTTTGAGGGGGAGGCAGATTCAGAGGCCTGTTTTTAGAGTTATTCAAGATTACATGACAAAACTCACTTATTATAATAACAGAGGTTTTGGCTGTCATTATAAATACCTCATATATAAACTATAGCAATGCTACAAATGAAGGCCAAGCAAGACAGCACATACAAGTGAGGGTGGAATTGTATGTTAAAAGACATATGATTCCTAGCCTGTTCTTGCCTTATAATGTTAATTGGAGGCATATGAAGGGGAGAATCTGCTGTGGGGCTTAAACCGTCTTCTGTCTGCTAATTCCTCCATCCCATATGCCCCCCAGCTCTTTTTAAACTATATCCCCCCCCCATCCTCCCCATTTTGATTTTGAGATTAGTGGTAATCCCTGCCATGGGGGGAAATTACCTCTGCAGGCTAAGAAGGACCACGCAGAGATGCTCACCCACATCCACCGATTTTAGTCTATAAATGCTTTCCCACCCTTTCCCAGTTTGTTTCAGTTGTCATTGGAATTGATGAGAAGAAGCGCTGTTACTAGCTCTTCAGTCCCTGTTCCTTTAAAAGTACAGTGGTACCTCGGGTTAAGAACTTAATTTGTTCTGGAGGTCCGTTCTTAACCTGAAATGTTCTTAACCTGAGATACCGCTTTAGCTAATGGGGCCTCCTGCTGCCGCCATGCCGCCACTGCACGATTTCTGTTCTCATCCTGAAGCAAAGTTCTTGATCCGAGCGGAGTCTGTAACCTGAAGCGTCTGTAACCCGAGGAACCACTGTAATATTATTCATTTTTGCACGGGGCATCCGTTTTCTGCTCAGTATATTGCTGCTGCAGCAGCATTGTTTATACTTCCTATTGTAGGACATCCGCATAGCAAACCTCCACAGAACAAACCCACGCAAGCCAGATCACAGAGGGGCTACAGTTGGAGAAATGTTGCGTTGCAGAATGGTGCCTATGGGGCAAATAGCTCCAGATGGTGCCAGCAATCCAAGCTGCATATTACAGGCACTTTTTCATCTCTCACTCTTGGTCGCCAAGTAGGCTAATCTGGTGTGTGTGTGAGAGAGAGACAGAGAAAGAATGAATTTGAAGACAATGGTCTTTTCGCACTGGTGTTCCCCAGCCACTGAGATTTGGAGGCACACTGCCTTTAAACCTGGAAATAGCACACAGGCACCGTGACTAGTAGCCCAGCAATGAATCCGAATGTCAGGCATGCTCTTTGCATTTGAGAGAGTTGCACTGGGGGTGGAGGTGACAGAGAGCCAGGCAGAGAGAGGTCTGTGTGTAGTGTGTGGGAATTTCGGAAGGGAGTGTATGGGGTGGTTTTTGTGTATGTATGGTCCGCGTGAGAAATATATGAAGTGCATATATGAATGAGAAAGAGATGCATGTTTGTGCATGTGCTATGTGAGGGAGAGAGTATGGTGGGACCAACTGGCATATTATTTTCGCCTGGTACTATGGACTGCTCCCTGTTGGATTGTAGCAACATACAGTGCTACCTCGGGTTACATACGCTTCAGGTTACAGACTCCGCTAACCCAGAAATAGTGCTTCAGGTTAAGAACTTTGCTTCAGGATGAGAACAGAAATCATGCTCCGGTGGCGTGGCAGCAGCGGGAGGCCCCATTAGCTAAAGTGGTGCTTTAGGTTAAGAACACTTTCAGGTTAAAAATGGACCTCTGTAACGAATTAAGTACTTAACCCGAGGTACCACTGTAGTTGTATATGTGTGAAATCAGTATTATGTGATCTCCAGGCAGGAACAGTGGTGGACTCCCCTTCATTGGAGGTTTTAAGCAGAGGTTGGCCTGGGACTTGTCTGTCAATTCCCAACAGCAAGGGTTGGCAGGCTGGGCTCCCTCACCCGCTTGCTTGCTTACTCCAAGGCCACTACAGCTCCTGCAAACTGGCACACCCTGGTCAGCCCCAGAGGCATCATTTGCCTGGGGAGCTTGTAGCCAGGGTTGCTGCAACAAACAGCTGCACTAGTTTTGGGGAGGCAGAGATACTAGAGGACCTCAGAGGAGGGAGGGAAGGAAAGAGGGACAGAGGCCAGTGTTGCCCACAGTATCCCTGACCATCATTCAAGGCACCCCAAGGTGCCATGGCACACTGGTTGAAAACCACTGATTTGACTTATAAAATGTTGATTAAGAACCCCCAGAACCATGCATATTTTACCTCACTATGTGGTGACTTTGCCTTCTGAGTGATGTGTTCATAGTCACGTTCCTATTTAGTTATTTTTGTTGTGTCATAAGTTGTTCTCTGTCCTCCTGAAGTTCAGGAAGTTGAACATACTTCATGCTATGGTGTGAGTGTAACATCAGTACCCAAACATAGCACTTTTCAATGCATTCACTCTTTAGAAATAAGATGTATTTGAGAGGATATACTCCTGAGTATGTACTCCTAGTTATTAACACCATTCTCAAAATTGAAACCCGTGTTAAGATGCAAACAAGACAAATAATGATAGGAACGAGGCAATTTGGTGCTTGGAGATTTTTCAGAATGCTAAAATAGAGCTTATATTGGAAATCTTCCCGAAGGTACATAAAAATAATTTCTATATTGAATCTATGCATGTTTAATACTACTGATTTTAACAGCTGCACTGTTGGTATTGATCCAGGACTAAATATAGCCAGTTCTAACCATCATGTGAATTGTGCTTTAGATGAACATTTCATGAGGATAGATGGGGGAGAGTGAGGTCCTTAACTAGACTGAATACTCCCATAAACCATATAATGTAACTTTTTCTAAGGCCAGAGGATCAAGATACCATAGGGCAGATGGCTAAATAAATTGGGTGGGGTTTTGTTTTGTTTTTACTATCTTTTAACTTTTGAAATTCTGGTTTAAAATTTAAAATATAAGGGTATAAAGGCCTATATACACAATATCTTAAGCTGAATCATGAACATCTATCAAACAGCTTCTGTCACATAGAAAGAAAGAGAAACATGGGGGCGTAGGGGGTGACGACCTTCTGAGGTTAGCAGTTTTGTTGTTGTTTAGTCGTTTAGTCATGTCCGACTCTTCGTGACCCCATGGACCAGAGCACGCCAGGCACTTCTGTCTTCCACTGCCTCCCACAGTTTAGTCAAACTCATGCTGGTAGCTTCGAGAACACTGTCCAACCATCTTGTCCTCTGTCGTTCCTTTCTCCTTGTGCCCTCCATCTTTCCCAACATCAGGGTCTTTTCCAGGGAGTCTTCTCTTCTCATGAGGTGGCCAAAGTATTGGAGTCTCAGCTTCAGGATCTGTCCTTCCAGTGAGCACTCAAGGCTGATTTCCTTAAGAATGGATAGGTTTGATCTTCTTGCAGCCCATGGGACACTCAAGAGTCTCCTCCAGCAGCATAATTCAAAAGCATAAATTCTTTGGCGATCAGCCTTCTTTATGGTCCAGCTCTCACTTCCATATATCACTACTGGGAAAACCATAGCTTTAACTATACGGACCTTTGTTGGCAAGGAGGTTAGCGGTACAGTGCTTTAAATATTTATTCAGAATTAGTCCCACTTAGTTCAGTCAAGTAGGTGGGTATGGGATTACAACCAGGCTGAGCAATGGATTCTTGGCCAGACATAACATGCTCTTTGCTTATATGTACTCCCCCCCCCCCCGAGCTTTCTGTGGTTGTAGGTGCTGCCTAGCTGGCTGGTCTCCCTCGGGACCTGGCAGTGGGGTATTTAATCTACTTCCAATAGTCGCTCAGCCAGCCTTTGGCTGACTTTAGGATGGCTGCCTTTAGCATTGTATTATTTATTTATTTGTTGAATTTACAACCTGCTCTTCCTCCCAAAAGAGCCTAGGGCAGCATAATACTTTATACAGTAACAGCACAGTTCTCTATATGTGCACTCAGTAGTAAGTCCCACTTGCTTAAGGCTTACTCCCATGTGAAGACTTAGTCATGAATTGTCTTCATTGCCGTGGGCTTCTTCCCAGGCACTTCAGCAGAAGCATGAGAGTATACCATGCCAGGATACTCTACTGAGCCCATGTAGGTGATCTTGCACTATTTTATGCCTTCCAATTACCTGAGCTCTGCAGTGCATTCAGTTGCAAATTATAAATTCTTATGAGTTAATATTATGAGCTGCTCCGATAGTCTTCAGACTGACAGAAGCAGAGAAAAATACTAGTAATAAATAAATATGACTCTACCAACTGAGCAGCAGAGATACTAACATTCCATTTTATAGAGGCACCATATTTTTTCCTAGTAACCGCCAGCTTGTGCCTCTGAAAAATCCTATACTTAGCTGCATTCTGTGTAAGGTTACTCAGAAGTAAATAAGAGTGCATAGGATCAGTGACGTTGGGCAGAAGATTTGCCAAGATGGCATATCTTTTCCAGTGCTTTATTGTTCCATAGAAAAATTTCTGTTTCATAAGTTCGTTAGTAACAAATGATTGAATGTCCTTTGCAAATACAAAATTAGGCAAGCTTGGCAGTTTCGAACGTGCAATTAATGTTTTTCAGCCAGTTCTCCCAAGCAGTGCCTTTAATTATTTACAAGTACTACAAAAACATTTTGACATAGTATAACATTCAAATCATATTAAGCTTGCTTTAATTTCCCCCGTCAAATATTCCAGGTGTACTGGGACAAAATGTTAACATGGGGTACTTTTAAAGCTT